GCGTTCGGTTTTATCCCAGTTGCCTATGGTAATGCGAACGTCGTGTGTAGCCATTATAGCTGCACAAAAGCATGGGAAATTACAAATGAAATTAAAGACAAAGACAATATATAGTACCACTTGGAGCTCAATATCGAATCATGAACCGTATTTTTTGTTTTGGATTTACCATCCAATATGGAAGCAGAATCGTGCCGTGCTTGTGAAATTTAGATTGAGTTGAAGAAAAGGTATCTGATTCTCACCTATAAATAGCAACCATGGCTTTACCCAAAAGCGTCTGCTTAGATATGAGAGCATGTATGACGTCAGCTTATAACGTCAATAAACGTCACACGTTCAAATAATTGTGCGTCTATGATTTTTTTTTTTTTTTTTAAAGAAAGGGCCGATCCATTTCACATCTTGGTTAATTTAGATGATTAATAAAATAACTTATCATTTAGCTATACATTTCTAGCAAAAATGACGTCCTCATTGTATGTACACCAATTGTTTTTGAAATTTAATTACCATTTATCTTTAGGATCAAATAAAACTATATCAAAGTTAAATCCATTAGCCCACTTTGGTGGTTTTAGTGAATATCTTGAGTACTTGACGTTGAGGTTTAATTATTTTTAATAGAAACATGTGTTTTACAGTTTTAGTTTATCAAGTTTCATTGAGAGAGGTGTATGATCCATTTTTGGTCCTCTTAGTCTATGTGATGATTGTGTTTTTCGCACAGCACAAAGTTTTTGTGCTTATGTGTTACATTTTGTTGAGAATTTGTCTTGAATTTTTAAGTCTCACATATGAAATTTTTAAGTCTCACATCAAGAAAATAGGTGAAATAAATAAAGGGATCAAGAGAAAGAAAATTAAATTTCATAAAACTTTCTTTTCAAAAAATTTATTATGGATCAAGATAATAATTTCTCTTTTATAAAAAATTATGAAAATTATCTTGTTTTAAAATTTTGAACATTAAAATTATACAAAGTTAAGATTCGATTTGAATAGTTAATAAAATCTATTATTTTCAACCCTTTTCAATTTCTCCACTTCAATTTTTTTCTTGCTCACTTGCCTGTAGCTCATTTTGGTATCAAGGAAAAAAAATCAATACGAGTAGTACAATTGAACTATCAAAATAAGTACCACTCGCAAAGTACTCTTCTAAAATTCTCCCTAAACTTAAAAAAATCAAGTGGGAATTTTCAAAAATGAAATGTTACGTCCATTTCATAAAAAGAAATTTTCATTATTTAGATTGTAATGTATACAACCAAAATCATAAGGATGAAAAACTAATTATATCCATAGATATAAAAACAAAAATATCGATAATAACATATAAAAAAATATTGATAATAACAATTCAACTCTTAGTATAAGCATTAATCCAAAATCATTGTATGAAAATTAGATCAAATATTAATTAAAGAGATTCGCCATATTTGTTTGAGTAGTTATTGTGAATTTGAGGAAGCAAAACGATCCCTGGGGTGGCTAGGTCTTCCTCTTCACTCTTCTCTTATTGGCAACACTTAATGGGCAGTTACCGTATCTTATAGAAATGAAGAGTGGACCTTAGCTTAATTAATTAAATAACCCTTGAAGCTTCTTCATCAAATGTTTACTAGAGCATTCAATTAATTAGGTGATCACATTCAATTAATCAGACTTTCATGCTTGTCTCATATTAGGACTATATTCATTAGTTGATTTTATCAAATTATTAAAATCGCTAATTAATAGTAGCTCACGCACAAAAAATTCTAACATTCTCCCACTTAGACGATATTAATTAGGTTGTTTGATTTTAAAAAACTTAACTTGAAAATAAGACTCCATGTTGATTTACTTTACTTTGATATGACCACAATTTTAAAAAATAATTTAGCCTTTGAGACAATATTTTAATAATCTACTCCAACAAAACCATCAACTATCAAATCATGGCAACCGTTATACCTTTTATTGACATAAGACCAATCTACGATTACAAGTACCAGAGGCTCTATCGACAATGAATTTCAGTGTAGTTGTGTAGTAAGAAAATAACACCTAAATTTGATCTCAATGTGTTATTTTCATTGTTAATTCTCTTGTCGATTTCTCTAAACTTATTGAAAAATCTCCATGGCATCCAGATGTGCCTGTATATCTCCTTAATATCCTCAAGGTTACTTGTTGGTATTCTTTATAAGACATACCCAAAAGATATTAAAGTTGTACTTAAAATATATACCAAGTCTTAAGATTTGACAATGCATACAACAAACTTTAATTTTCCAAGTGTACATGTACTAACATAATAAATAACAACATAAAATATTAACCAAAATAGGCAAAATCATCTAAATTATTCCATAGGATTAAATTTCGGAATGATGGATGTCTTGATAAAATTATAAATAAAATCTTTTAAAAATTGAACATACTATTGGGAGTGCAGGAATTTTGAAGGTATCATCATCAGGGATTAGAAAGTCAATGGAAAAGAGAATATTATTGTCCATTATTTTTGGACTAACTAAAATGAAGTAGCGCGAGATGGTTAGAACAATTTGAGACCAAGGACTGGTAGTTACTGCTCAATACTAGTCAACATAATT